TTCATAGGTCGATGCTCAACCTCTGAGCCACACCGGCAGGGCAAAAAGAAAAAGCTTTAATAAACTAGTCAGGTATGGCTATGAATCTGAGAATCCAGATAGTGACATCCTTATGTACCTAAGACATCAACGTCGTATTTGATCTCCTTTTCTCCTGCCACACTGGTCGCCACACACACATACTGCCCCCGATCGACTTCCAGGGCACTTGTGATTTCTAGCGTCTTCCCACCAGCTTCTATTCGGATATTGTCACTGGCTTTCACGGGGACACCGTCTTTTAACCAGGTGAGAACTGGCGGAGGGTTGCCGGCAGCTTTGCACTCCAGTGTCAGTGAATGGGTAACAACCACTTGCTTATTGAGAGGTACAGCCAAGTCACCTTCAATCATGGGAGGAACTGTGAGAAAAAAGTAATATTTCAAGCAATTCTTTGAGTCCCAATGAAATAGGACTCCTACCATTCATCCCCGGCTTAGCTGTTGAGGAAAGAATTTCTTGGTTCAGCCGATCTACAGCTATTCTAAATATTTGTGGGATATTACCATGTCTGGCTTCTGAAGGGCAAATAGAAGAGAATGCTTTTAGTCCTAATAATGCCTTTACCTTCTGCATAAAAGTCAAATGGTCTGGAAGCCCCAAGTGCCACGGCCAAATGGTTGGCCAAATGAATGGACCAGTTCCTGCTAACGGTAACTTTTAAAAACATTTTTTCCAAATCATGGGACAAACTCTTCTAACTCCTACCCATGCATATTGAAAATGATCAAATCCACCAGGACCTTATTAGTGAATGAACTGGAAGTTGGCATATTAGAAGGCAGAGGTGGAAAGACAGATGATTAAAGCTCATATATGTTCCTTACCATAAACGTCCACGTGGAACGATTTTTCAGCAGTTCCAGCAACATTGCTGACATGACACGTGTACGTTGCTGAATCAGAGACCTGTGCTCGAGGGATATGAAGAAACTGTCCTTTATCAATATAAAGTGCTTGCGAACTGGATATGATCGGCTGGCCGTCCTTATACCACGTGACAGCTGGCATCGGAAGTCCGCGTGTTTCACACTCCAGCTTAATTACGCTGTTGATCAATGCTGATATTTCCGTGGTGACATTCCCTCCTTTAATACTGGGTGGAACTACAAAGGATTTCGGAGCAGAAACAAGTTTTCTAGGCTTTAGCATCTGCATAAAATCTTAAATGTGACAGGTGTTTAAATGATGCACTCAAAGCAAATACACATTAAAGACAACGAGGAAGCCTGTGATTTATCTGCTGATAATGACTTGCCTGTTTTGTCCATTTTTATCACCCTCCTTCTGGGTTTCGGATAAAGCAGAACATCACAGCTTTCGTTTCAGGGGTTCATTTAAGTCCAATAGA